GAGTTAATTTTATACCCTGCTATTTTGGCAAAGTTTCTGATCAACTCAGGTAATGGGAGTACAGTCTATGGGGCTCTTTAAATACAATATCATGTCATCTGCAAAGATGGAGAGTTTTACTTCATCCTTCTCTATTTGGATCCCCTTTATGTTTTCATCTTGTCTTATTGCTGTAGCTAGGCATTCTAATACTAGGTTGAAGAGGAATGGGGAGTGTGCACACCCTTGTCTCGTTCCTGAATTTAGAGGAAATGGCTTTAACTCTTTGCCCGTAAGTATAGTGCTGGCTATAGGTTTGTCATTTATACCCTTTAGTGTCTTGAGAAATGTTCTATGGGTTCCCAGATTTTCCAGAGCCTTCATCCTAAAGGGGTATTGGATCTTGTCAAATGCTTTTTCTGCATCTATTGAGATAACCATGTGGTTTTGATCCTTGCTCTTGCTGATGTGATGAATCATATTAATTGTTTTGAGCATATTGAACCAGATTTTCATCCCTGTTTGATCCATGGTGTGATTCTTTTGATGAGTTGTTGAAGTCTATTAACCAAGATTTTGTTGAGAAGTTTTACGTCAATATTCATTAAACAAATGGGTGTATAGTTCTCTTTCTTTGATGAGTCCCTGCCTGGATATGGGGTGAGGGTTATGCTGGTTTCATAAGTAGAGTGTGGTAGTGAATTTTTGCTTTCCATTTCATTAAAGAGATAGAAAAATATTGTTGTGAGTTCTGCCTTGAAGGCCATGTAGAATTAAGCTGTAAATCCATGTGGTCCTGGATATTTCTTGGCTAAGAGGTCTTTTATTGCTGCTTCTATTTCGATGCTTGATATGGGGCTTTTAAGTTGTTTTAAATTATCTTGGTTTAGTTTGGGCATACCATTATTTGCTAAAAATTTGTCCATATCTTTCAGGTTCTTAAATCTATTAGTGTAAAGGTTTGAGAAGTATCCCCTTATTATATTTTAAATCTTGGCTGTTTCAGTAGTGATGTTTCCATTCTCATCATTGAGTTTGTTTATTTGGGTGTGTTCTCCTTTTTTGCTCACAAGATTTGCTAAGGGTCTGTCAATTTTATTAATATTTTTCAAAGAACCAACTCTTTGTTTTGTTAATTCTTTCTATAGTTTTTTGGACTCTACTTCATTTAATTCAGATTTAATTTTAATTATTTGTTTCTGTCTACTGGATTGGGGTTTAGCTTGTTGTTCTTTATCAAGGAGCTTTAGATGCCTCATTAAATTGTTGGTTTCAGATATTTCCAATTTCTTGATGTAGGAACTCAGAGCTATAAACTTGCCTTTGGGTACTGCCTTGGCTGTGTCTCAAAGGAGCTGGTAATTTGTGTGACCATTTTTGTTGAATATCATAAACATTTGAATTTCCTTTCTAATCTCTTCCATGACCCATTAATGGTTCAACAGTGTGTTGTTCAGCCTCCATGTGTTACAGGATTTTCTTTGGTGGCTTTTGGTGTTGAATTCTAATTTAACTCCCTTGTAGTCTGAGAGAATTCAGGGTATCATTTTGATGTTTCTGAATTTGGACATATTTGCTTTCTGGCCTAGAATGTGGTCTATTTTGGAGAATATTCCATGTGCTGCTGAGAAGATGGTGTTATCTGATGCTGCTTGGTGAGATACTCTGTAGATGCCCATTAAGTCTAGTTAATCTATGCAGATTTTAATATCTGAGGTTTCTCTGTTCTGTTTTTCCCAGGTTGATCAATCTAGTGGGGATAGTGGTGTACTAATGTCCCCCACAATTAATGTCTTTGTATCAAAGTGATATTTGAGGGAAAGTAGTGTTTCTTGGATAAATTTTGGTGCTCAATTATTTGGTAAGCAGATGTTTAGAATCGTAATATCCTATTCAAGGTGAGATCTCTTAATTAGCATATAGTGACCTTCTTTATCAGTTCTCCTTGATTTTAATTTGAATTCTATTTTATCTAATATTAGGATTGCAACTCCTACGTGTTTATAAGGGTCATTTGCTTGATATATTCCAGCCTTTCACTTTCAGATTTGGTTTATTTTTGTGGGCAAGGTGTGTCTCTTGAAGACAGCAGATAGAAGGATCTTGCTTTTGGACCCAACTGGACAATCTATGTCGTTTAATTGGAGAGGTAAGACCATTAATATTAAGGGTTAGAACTGAGAGGTGTTTGTCTGCCCCTACATTTGCATCCATATTTGGGGAGGAAACTGCCTTGGATGCTCTTGTTGTTATTATGTATTTCTCTGTTTGTGGACCGGTTCATTGCCTATAATCTGTTCTTGTTGAATGTCTTTGAGGATTTTTTGGAGAGTTGGTTTGGTAGAGATATATTACTTCAGATTTTCCTTTCTGTGGAAGGTTTTCATTTGTCCTCCTTCTATGAATGAGAGCTTAGCTTGGTATATTATTCTTGGTTGGTAGTTATTTGACTTTGGAGTGTGGCATACCTTTTCCAGGCCATCCTTCCTTTATGGTGTCTGCTGAGAAGTCTGAGGTAATTCTGATTGGGTTACATTTATATGTGATTGTTCTTTTCTCCCTGACAGTTTTAAGAATCCTTTCTTTAGTGGCTGTTGAGCTGGGAGGGATTATAATGTGGCTGTGGGATGACCTGTTCTGGTCTTGTCTATTTGTGGTTCTAAAGGCATCTTGTATCTGGATGGGCCTAACCTTTTGTATATTTGAGAACTTCTCTGCTAGGATTCTGCTAATTTCTAATCCACTGGCTTTCCTCTCCAGGCCCTCTTGTATACATATTATTCTCAAATTAGGATTTCTGAATGTATCCTGTATTCCTCCAGTGATCTGTAATGCTTCTTAGTTTTGTTATGAATAATTGTGTGCTCTTTTTCTATGCACTCTAAACTGTCTTCAGCCTCTGATATTCTTTCTTCAGCCTCCACCATTCTACTTTGAAGGCTTTTTACTTCAGTGTCTATCACCTTTGCTGCTTGCTGTTCTTTCTTAAAAGTGGCCTGCTCCTTATTAAGGTTTTCTTTTAAGTCTTGAACAGATTGCTTTACCTGCTGGAGTTGATCCTCAGACTTTTCTTTACACTACTCAATCTGGATTCCTATCTTTTTAATAGCTTCTTTCTTCCTCTGCTGGAGTTCCTTTATCTTTATATTTGTAGAGGCCATGAAGTCATCTATAGCCTATGGTTGGCCTCATTGCATTTTCTGATAACCCTATGCAGGGTGTCCAATTTTTCATAGAGCAGGTTTACCAGCCATACTTTTAATCTATCATGAGCATTATCCTCTAGGTCATTCTAGGGCTGCTCTGTAGCTTGTTTATGTGGAGATGGTGTTTGGATTTGTCGATTGGCCATGTTGCTTGTGTTTTGGTGGTTAACTCTACCCATTTGGAGACAAGAACCACACTGGTGCGATGTAAAACAGTCTTTTTTATTTTGACCAGAGCCAACCTGGTGCTGTGTAGATGTATAGATCTTAGGGTTTCACAGTTATGTGTATGTGTTTTCCCATTTAGCTCTCTTTTTCTTTGCTTAGAGAGGGATATTGTGGCTTTGGGGTCGAAATTATGTTGCAACTTTTGAGACAACCTGGGTATGGCTGAAAAGTAGTTTTCTCCTTAGAGTTAACAAGAAGGGTCCCTTGTACTCAAAATAGTCAAATGGAACCAATTTTGTGGTCAAATATAGAACCAACTGTAAGTTGAGTCTGATATAAACCATTAGGGATCAATGGGCTGGAGCAGATGGAGAAGTGAAGAGTTAGGATTGGAGAGATATGAATTCAAATTCAGAAGAGAACTTGGGTATAATGATAGTAGAGGGGTAAGGACAGATTAGTGGAGGGAGATAGGTAGATAGATAGATAGATAGATAGATAGATAGATAGATAGATAGATAGAGTTGGTAGGAGAATATAGACCTTGTTACTAAGTATAAGAGGTGGAAATGAATTCAAAGAAAGGTTATGTAGGTAGTAGCTTAGAGATCTAGATGAAGGTAAGAAAAAGAAGTTATATATAAATGTATTTGGGAGATTTGCTGAGATTAGAGAAAGATTGTTCTGATATTATTGGAGAATCGCTGAATCTAAGTTAACTCCTGTAATTATTGTTTACACACACAGAAGGAGACCTTACTTTGTGTATAGAACTAGGCAGGGTAGCTCTGATGACATAGTAGTATAATTTGGAGAGAAAGGAGAAGGGGAGAGTGAGAGGAAAAGACAGAAGGAAAAAAATCTTACAAATTAGGAGATTGGAAAATGAAGAAAAAACAAATAAAAATGACAAATAGAAGCTTTAAGTGGAATAGCAAATCCTAAATCACAATACACATAAGGAACACATAGAAATAAAAACAAACAACAAATGATCAGGTATAAAAACTAACAAAACAGGGCTGGGAAAGTGGCTAAGTGGTAGAGTGCTTGCCTCACATGCATGAGGCCCTGGGTTTAATTCCTCAGCATCTCATAAGCAGAAAAAATGCTGGAAGTGGTGCTGTGGCTCAAGTGGTAGAGCACTAGCCTTGAGCTGAAGAGCTGAGGTACAGTGCCCAGGCCAAGAGTTCAGCCCCCATGACAAACAAACAAACAAACAAAAAACCCACAAACGAGAATAAAAAAACTAAAAAATAGGTTTTTTGGGTTCATTGGGGGAGCTTTAGTCTTCCCATAGTCCTCAAAACAGATTTCTGATAGAACCTTGTATGCCTTGCTGTAGTCCACTTTCCTTGTGGCTTGGTTGGGAACAGATGGCCTTTTGATCGGGGAGGCTACCTGCTATCTACAGTCCCACTCTCAGGCCTGATGGAAGGGAGTTTGGGGGGTTTCTGGTTTGTAGATTGCTATCATACGCCTGGAATTGTATTCCCAGGCTTTCCCTGGTAGCCACAGGAACCTTAGGAACAAAGCTTATGTCCGTGTTCTGTTCTGGAATGATCCCTCCCTTTTGGAAGGGGGTTTGGGTCAGAGGGCTTTGGAATCCCACAGGAAATTGCCTCCCAGGGAGTGGACCCAGTTGGGTTACTCACAAGGTCTGTAGCTGCTGGTGTGCTGGACCCAGAGCCTGTGCTGTGGTGGGTTGGATGGAATTGGCAGGTTCTCATTCAGAGGGTCTGGGTGTTGGCAGGTGCAGGTGGGCAGGGGAGGGAGGTGCGGCTCTGCTGATGCTGAAGGGTCTCCTCTGTGGCGGCGTGGGGAGTCCTGGCACTGGGAGGACAAGGTAGAGGTTCGAGGAGCACGCTGGTGTGGACTGCAGCAGGGGGAGGCATGCTGGTCTGCAGCAGAGGTGTTGGGAGGTGGCCGCTGGTTGGAAGCCTTGGGTGTGGCTTCCTGGGGCTGCTAGGTGTATTTGCAGAGATGACTGTAGCAGTTTGGTGGTGCCTCAACTGTGAGAGCCTGGGGTCTCTCTATGGTTGTCTCTTATGTCAAGTTCTTTTCTGCCTTTTCAGTGAGTACTTGCCTCAAAATGTTATCTAGAATGACTAGTGTATTTGTTCTGAATAGTATCTAGCCATTAAAAATAAATGGTAATCAAGACCAAATACATAGGATGAGGAGATAGCAGGAGAGATAGCAAGACATGTGTAGTATCATTTTTATAGTTCAAAGAAAGGGTTAGTGATACTATAGTTCAAGGATCACACATGCAGTTCAAGGTTTGAAGTAGGAGAACAAAGAAGAACAGACTCTGTAAAAGACACAATTTAGATATGAAAACTGGGCTATTTAAAGAAGTCAATAGACTGTGTGAAAAATCCTAGAATCCAAAAATAACATATCCAACAGACACAAGTTTAGTTCAACAATGTCCTCAGCAAAACACCTGAGAGGGATCCAAAAATCTCTGATTTGGACCTGAAGTGAATAATTTTTTCTAATTCACTAACTGTATACAAATGGGGTTGGAATTTGAAAACCGTTTGTAGTCATCATCCCATGCTTTATAGAGAATACATATGGAAAGAAAGATCAAGATGCAGACCTGTGCTTCTTCCGTTGTTGTGATAGCCAGACTCTTTCTATTGAACTGACTGGTACCATTTTCCATATTTCATAGTCCATCCTGTAGTGGGATTATTTCAATCTCACAAATGTTTGCTAATTTTTGTTTTTTGTTCTCATCTTTATTTTTGACTAAGTAATAAATGAGTATCATACTAAACACATACACAGCAGGAGAACCCTACTAGTATCAGACAGACAGGTATTCCTAGTTGTCTGCCAAAAAACATATGCCTTTGTATATATTTTGGCACAGGGGCAAACTACCACATAATGCTCAAATGGAGCACAGGCTTCTGCATTTAACAGCTTGTGACATAACTCTCTAGATTTCTTTTTTGAAGCCTCTCAATAGTGTGTACATATATACATATATATACAGAGATTTTTAAAATTTATTTTTGCCAAGTGAAATTCAAAAATTATTGGATACATGATTCTATAGCACTTATAGTCTAAGATTTTTCTTTACTGCTATTTAACTGTTAAGGGGCTGGTGCCACTATGATATATATAAGTTGGACTCTAAAACACGGTTGGAGCTTTTGCTCTCTAATTGATCAATCTTTTAATTTTCTAGAATTTCCTTGGTTATCTTGCTCATAATTTTTTATTATTACGTTTAAGTAGTTGTACAAAGGAATAGTTTCTGAGCATAATATATCTTGAGCAATGTCACCCCTTCCAACATTCTCATCCTCCTTTTTCTACCCAGCCCTTCTCTCACTCTTCTTAATTTTATAGGAAATACATTGGATTCTTGACTGCATTCTCCCTCTATTCTCTTCATTAAGCTACCCCTCTTCCTCTTGACCCCACACTTTTGAGTACACAAAACTTGGTGTTTAATTTTGCTGAACTTTGGGTTTTGTCTGTCTAGGGAATTGAAATATTTGTCATCTGACATGTAAACATTAAAATATTCTTCCAGAAAATTTGTGTTATGTACATCTTTGAATAACAGCATATTGACATACTGACAGGAATCATCTACATTTTGATTTTATCAATCTAAAAATTAAGTCTTTTAGTGATACTTTAAAGAGGTGTTCTGAGTTTTTCTGACTTTCATTCTACAGTATTTCATTACTTTTCATTTACCTTTTTATGAAAAACTTTCTACTTAAAATATTTTATTATCTTTAATTTTGATGTGTTACAGAGGCTAGTATTTCTTCCAATATGTCCTCTAATCATCTTATTAGTTACACTAATAGGACTAATATTAAGTTCAGGTTTTATACATCAGGCCCTGATATAGTCATTACTTTTTTCATTTCCATTGAGATATTAATAGCCTATGTACCTTTTGTTTTTGACATATTTAAACTCAATATTTATTGTTGTTATTAAGGAGTTGTACAAAGAAGTTATAGTTCCACAATTCCGATTATGAGTACAATGGATCTTAGGTAATATCCACCCTTCCTTCACTTTCCCCTTATTTTTTCCTCTGGTCCCTACCCAAAAGTACATCATTCATTTTTAATATAATGTTTGTTAAATACCATAACTACATTTGCTCATCATCCCTCCATTCCTGTGTTCCCTTTTTGTTTTCATCTTTTTAAAAAAATAGCATGATATCAATTTTAAAATTAAGATTCAGAAAAAATGGCCTTCTTTATTACTTCCTAATAGAAATCCTGAGTCTATTTTGTTTTGTTGACACTGATGTAAAAAGCACCAAGAGTTGCACCCCATGGCATCCTTTTTTTGATTGTTTCAAACTCCTTTCTCAGTGAATGCATCTCGGTATCCATATGCTCATATTCCCTTATAAATCTTTCTTTAAGCATTTCTTCTTGAATCCACAAAATGAAAAAGTAAACCCTGAAAATAAAACTTACTGAATATCAAGAATTTTCCCTTAACAACCCTAGGAGCTAAGGATGTCGCTCTCTCTCTCTGTCTGTTTCTCTCTCTCTCTCTCTCTCTCTCTCTCTCTCTCTCTCTCTCTTTCCCCACACTCCACCACAGTGTTTTTGACACATTTGTCTAATGTTTCCTCCTGATTCATGGGTAGTAAGAACATATGTGCTCCTAGCTCCCTGCGATTCTCTCAGGAAGGTGGGAGGAGCTGGCAAAGGCAGGCTCACAAGTATCCTTGTGATATATCCCAGGCCCCATCCAGACTCACCTTCAGCTTGTGTTCCAGCTTCTTTTCCTGATCTCTTATCAGATTAAAAAAAACTCTCTTTCCCTTTCCATCTTCTCCTGTAGTTGGGCCATATTTTCCTTGTAGCTTTTCTCTTGGGCCTCCATCTTTTGCTGCTGCTCCTTCTGTTCCTGTCTTAGCACCTCCTTCTCCTTCTCAGCTGCTTCCTTTGCATCCCGCTCAGCTATTCCACATTGGTTTTAGAGAAGAAAAACAACAAGAATCAAGCTATAATCCTCACCTCCTGGGCTCAGGAAGAAATTGTCTCTGAATTTTTCCAGCGATCAAACCCAGGCACATGTGAGAATGACATGGAAATGTGCTGCCACACTGGCTATGAGTAGACCTGACCTATTATTTTTCAGATTTAGCATCTTGTACATTCCAGTGTAGAACAGGAAGCTCCTTTCATAAAGATCTTCATGTCCATCAGTTAAGGTTTTCAGGAACCCACTCCCTCTTCTGAAAGCGTTACCTTGCCCAGTACCTGCTATGGCCTTCACTCCATCAGTGAGAGCTTTGTCTGACTGTAGGATCAATTTTTCTATAGCATCCTGGGACTGCAGGAATGTCTGGAGAACCTCATTTGCCTAGGAGACCAATAAACAAGTGGAATATGTCAAAGAACAAAAGTTTATTCTGTTGTTGCAGAAATTATTTCCCTCTAAATCCTGTAAAATTTCACTTGTCTTCAAGATTCCTCTGTGTCTGTTCCTTCTTGAACCATAATAGCAAAGCAAATCTCTCTTGTTGTGCTTAGAAACATTTTATAGCAGCCTCTGCCCTAGCTCTCCAGTTTTTTTTTTATTTACTGTGGGGCTTGAACTAATGACCTGTCTTCTCCTGACCTTTGTGCTCAAGACTAGCACTATACCATTTTGAACCACAATGCCACATCCGGTATTCTAGTGGTTAATTGGAGACAACAGTACCACAGACATTCCTGGTGGCTATGAACTGCAATCCTCAGATCTCAGCCTGCTGCATAGCTAGGATTATAGGCATGAGACTCCAGCACCCAACTTCCAGCTCTTTTTTTTGAAACAGAGAAATCCATTGCTATTCCAGGATATCAATGGGATTTACATGTACCTAAAATGTATAGCCTATGTCTGGGCACTGGTGGCTCAGACCTATAAATCATAGCTAGTCAGGCATTCTCATTTGAAACAAACCCAGATAGAAAAATACACAAGGATCTATCTCCAAAATAACCAAGAAAAAAACAAACTAAAAGCATGGGTCAAATGTGAGTGCACCAGACAAGCAAGCGAGCTGAACAAATAGGAATCTTAAGCTCAAAACCCCGTACTAAAATAAATGAATAAATAGATGGATAGATAGATTGATAGATAGATTGATAAACTAATACCCCTACATTCTATTCTTCTACCAAGATACCTGTGTTCTTCTTTTAAACTACATGGAATCTTCTTAAAATTCATCTTGACTTTCATTCTACTCTTGGAGAAATCTTTCGTGAGCTAACTCCAGAGTTCTATATGGCTATCTTATGAACAGTCTACCAGGTTTCCTGACTAAAGGCTCTAGGTATTTGCAACTTGTTAGCTTCCCTATGCCTCACATATCTCAGCTACAAAACTTGGATAATGTTAGTAGTAATTTATAGGATATTTCTGAAATTCGAATTATACTTGTTCAAGTAGGATGAAATTACAGGTGCCTGAATATTCATGATATAAAATAGGGTGTTGAAATTGAGACATAGTGGTACATACTTCTAATCATAACATTGTGGAGGCTGAAATGGAAGTGATATGAGTTGGAACCATCCTTAACTACATGAAACAGCTTGAGTTAAATCAAACAAAAAGAAAAACCCAAAATGAACCATAACATATAATTTTGAATATGTGTGAGCATTATTAACACTCATATTGTTACCATATTAATCCCATCATTATTTTTACTTGGTGTCCATGCCAGCATGACATACCTTATCTTGTTAAATTCAATTTGCTACTTGGTCTGAGGCAAGACTGTCAGTTTCTTGTGAATAGACCAAAGAGGTATCTTTAATTTTTAAATCTCATCAACATGACTAAGAACCAATTGCATAATTTGATCCATGAAAAAATTCTACTCTATCTGGGAGTTTCAGGTTTAAGAATAAATAATGTTAGATATAGAAGGAAAAATGCAGACTTTCTTCTCACAAGTGATTCTGTGTTCTTTAATAATGAGTTTTTCTGACTAACTGCAATTCATCCCCTTATTCCTCACCTTCACCCCTGTCCTGGAAACTAGCTTGTAGTCCTGTTCAACCTTCTTCTTGCCTTTCAAGTAGAGATTATGCCCTCCAGGTATAGAGAAAGTGCCATTGGAAATGCTTTCCATGAAAGACTGGGAAATTTTCTTGAGCTCCATCTGGCAGTATTTGACAGAAGCATCTTCATTCTGCTGGATGAAATCTTCCTTCTTTCTCTTTATGGTGTTCTGTTAAGACCATAGGAATACAGAACAAAGAAGATATTAGAAAGAAAGTCTATGGTGATCTACCTGGAGAAAGTAAGGTGAAGGCCTGAGTACACATTGGGACAGAAAAAACTGTCTGAGTAATATTGGTAAGTCCCTGAACATTCTGGGAGCCAGGCTCATTCTCTGTAAAATGATGGGATTCAATCACAGTACCCTCATAATTCTTTTAACAGCCCAGTGATGAACAACAATAAAGCCATAAAATAAACAATGGCAAGTGGAACGTGGCAAAAAGGACAGTTACCTTAGGATGTGGGTTGCAAGGATAAAAATGCATACATTAAAAAGTATGCAATTATCACGGAAGTTTCTCATATGTTCATACTTTTGGAAACATTCATTAATTCACACAATGCACATATAGGCACATATAAAAAGTGCTTTGTTGTGCTTTTATCCCAACAGCAACTTGATTGTAGAGCCTGAAGTTATGACCTCATTTGAATGCCCTGAGCAGAGCACTTGTGGGCTTATCCAACATCCACACACTATACTTACGATAAACAGAATAGTATGTCATATGTCCATAATGGTATATCATAAATATATAAATGCAATTTGGCTTTTTTTTAATGCTGTTCGTGGGGCTTGAACTCTGGGCTCTGTTCCTGAGCTTTATGCTCAAGGCTAGCACCATTTGTGTCACACCTCCACTTCTAGACTTTGGCTGTTTAATTGAAGATAAAAGTGTCATGGGCTTTCCTACCCAGATTCGCTTTGAACCATGATCTCAGATCTCAGTCTTCTGAGTAGGTAGGATTACTGTATGAGCTACTGGTGCCTGGGTTTTTTACTTGCCAACCATATTGTAATTTATTATGCAACAATAAAAGACAAATGTCTGGTACCCATCAGCCTATAGGAATACTCACACTCATAAATTCCAGGCTCTTAAAAGTACAGATAGGAAATGATCCATAGGATTAAAATGATGAACATAAGCATTGTGTGAAAAGGGGAAGATGTCATGAAAGGCAGACCAGGAGCAGACATGGTACCATTAGATCCTTTTGAAACTCCCACTTGTCATCCTTGAATGATAACTCCATGAAGACTGCGATGGCTTCTCTCTCACAGGCCGCATGCACATCCAACAGCTCCTGGAGGTCCTCAGTGGGGAGCCTCAATTGCTGAGCCATATGCTGGCTACTTTAGTGGTTGGCTGCCTTCTGCACAGCTGCTGAGTTCTCACGATGGGCCAGGGTAGTCACAGCGTTCTCCAAACATGGCACTGCTCCACTGTTTATAGCACTGAAATAAGTCTCCACCAGAGTCCCCAGTCCTGGATGAGCCCAATAATTTAAGGATAAACGTTAAGCTACACTTCTGGTTTATTCTAAAATTAGCATTCTGAAAAACATTAAGACTTTAAACAACTTGCACACTTTTTGGTGATATCATGGCTTGAACTCAGGGCCTTGAGCTTACTAAGCAACTGCTATATGAATAGAACCACACTACCAACACTTTTTGCTTTTTATCCAGTCCCATGGCTTGAACTCAGGGTCTGGGCACTGTCCCTGAGCTTCTTTTGTTCAAGGTTACCACTCTACCCCTTCAGCCATAGTGCTACTTCTACCTTTTTCTGTTTATGTTTTGCTGAGCAATCAAGCCCAGGGAATCATGCATGCTAGCCAAGCACTCTACCACTACACCACATTCCTAGCCCCCTTTTGCTTTGATATTATTTTAAGGATAGCATCCTTTGTATATACCTGTGCTATCATGAATTGTGAGCCTCCTATTTATGCTTTCTGCATATGTGTGTTAACAGACACAAGCCACCATGCCTAGTTACTGATTGAGGTAGCTTCTTGATGAGTTTTTGCCCTACAGTACCCCAATTTATTATCTTCCCAATCACTGATTCCTGAGTAGCTGATATGAAATTTCTTTATCTTATTTGACAAAGTCTACTTCTGGTAGCACTGTTTTTCCTATTCATTATTTTTCTTCAGGCTCTTAAATCACACATTACAATTAAATCATGATAACTACCAATATGATCAGTATATTGTCCAGAGAATTCAATATAAAGTTAAAAAAAAGAGCAGATGACACAAGGAAAGTGAATGAAGTTTACAAATGAAAACAATTATCTAACTTTTGGAACACAATTCTAAATAAGAATGAAATTCTGCATATACAGTTAACAAGAATTTCATGACAGAACCACTTCTTTTTTAATACACACAGACACACACAGACACAGACACAGACACAGACACACACACACACTCACATACACACACACAGACACACACACACACACACAGACACACACACATATATATATTAGTCTAAAAATACTCTCCAGAGTACTTACAGTTACATGAGTAAGGTAATTAGTACATTTCCTATCAAGTATTATTATCTCCTCATCCCTTTCCTCTCCACCAACTCCAACTCATAGCTCCCACCAGTGAAGTTGTAAAGTTCATGTTCAATATAATATCTTGTATATCTCATTGCTACAATAGGTCAACCTGTATCCTTATTTCAGGGCATCGGAATCAAACACAGTGAAAATAGGGGTTATAATATGGGGGAAGAACATAAAAAGAAACAAAAAAAATCACCTGGTACATTATAAATACATTAAAAACAACAGCAAGGAAGATAAAAACCACTTGTGTCCGTATCTTGGGGTTCATTTCCCTTAGCATCATCTTATATGGTCATATGTACATATCTTTTGACCTTTTCTGCTTGTCCTAGACATATACTATTTGTTGAAAATAAGGGACACCATGGGACCTATGTTTCTTTGGGCCTGACTTACTTCACTTAATATATATTTTCCAATTCTTTCCATTTCCTAACAAATGGGGAAATGTTATTTTTTTGATGGAGGCATAGAATTCATATATATATATATCACATTTTTCTTGATCCATTCATCCACTGAGGGTATCTGGGTTGGTTTCAAATCTTAACTATGGTGAATAATACTGTGAAAAACATAGTTGTGCTGGTAGCTTTGGTTGGCCTTGTTTGTGATTATTTGGGTAGAGGGCCCAATAGTGGGATTGCTGGGTCATAGGGGAGCTCTATGTGGAGTCTTCTGAGGAAACACCATACTGCTTTCCAAAGTGGTTGAACAAGGTAACACTCCCACTAACAATGCAGTAGGGCCACATCCCCTCCAGCATCTGTTGTTATTAATGTTCATGATTATAGTCATTCTAACTGGGGTGAGGTGGAATCTCAATGTTGTTTTGATTTGTATTTCTTTTATGGCTAGAGAGGTTGAGCATTTCTTCATGTGTCTATTGACCATTCTTATTTCCTCTTCAGAGAAGTTTCTCTTTAACTCTTTAGCCCAGTTATTGCTTTCTCTTCAGATCTTATAAATCTTTTGCCTTTTACTAAAGCCACTTCTGTAGCTAGGATTTAACTGAATTTTGATTTTAAACTTCCAATGAACCTTTAGGAACTTGGCATCTTATTTTCTTCATACCTACTTTAAATACATACAGAACACTTGTCCAAGTTACTTAACCTACAATACAGGTATTAATCTTTAGAATCAATCAGCTCTTACATAATCAGAGGAATAGCCTCTTAAGATATATTCTATCTCGGTGAAGCTTCATGTAGAGAGACAATAATTAGAAAAGATGAAATCATATGAAAGCATAAACTAATATTTTTATATGCTTAAATGCAAACATGTAATAAAAGCTTTATTTCAGGGAATTAAGTACAGAGGTAAGTCCAGGAGCAAAGAACACTCAAGTTTCCCAGTGACAATAATTCCCTCTCTTAAGGTCTTGGGTTTTGCATTGGCAAAGATGTAGGAACAGAAGTTTTTGGATTGTACTTGGAAAGTGAAATCCAGCAGGTCTTCTGGCAAGCCTTCAATATAAGCTAAGAGGTTTTTTTCTTTTGTATATCGATCAAAGACAAAACATTTGCGTTTTGGGAAGAAATGCCTGATACACTCCCTAAGCAAGTTGGCATACTGGATTTTCAAACTCCTACCTGCAAATAAAAGGAAAAAATGGATTGTTGGAAGGGCAGCCATCAGGCAAGGGGTTGAGTATTTTCATTTCCAGAGATTTTACCTCATTGTCTTAAAATCTCCTTCAGCCTAATCATATGATACTTCATTGCAAACCGACCTTGTGCACAGAGGCAAAAGACAACAAGTAATTGAAGGTTAGGCATCTATCTGTCCACAAATGGGGGAAATTGATTAACCTTCCTAGTTCTGGTGAAAGTCTCATGAGTTAAGAATTTAACAAATGTTTATTGGGTGACTAGTGAAGCAAAATGGTTTGAAGCAATTTTCTGATTCTACTGTATCACTGTCAGAAATGAAATGTAAGGCTTAAAATTATACTAGCAAAGGATAAGATGCTACTGGAAAAATGTTGCAAAGAAGATACATAATATCCAACTGTTACAAACATACACACACACACACACACACACTCACACACACATATAAGAACCTCCCACAAATTGATTAAAGACTACTTTCACTGAATTTTTTTAATTTTTATTTTTACTGTGAAAATACCATACAGAGGGGTTAAAATTACATGGACAAGGTTCACTGAAAATTTTGAAGAGTAAAGTTAACTTAGATATAGAGTGGAGATCTTTAGCGTAGGACTGTTCACTGGAATACTAAAACTGGTTTCTATTCGAGAGCTTGTTTAACTTCCAGCTTATCCTCTGCCATCTTCCTCTGGACCCTACAGTGGAGATCTCTTAATTCTCTAAATTACGGAATGAGGCTTTACAGAGACAATGTAAACACTTGCTGCATAAGAATTAATCCATAAATGTGGAAAGACTGGATAAAATAATATTAAAAATATTGATAATCTTTTGAAATGCCTAAAACACCCCACTTTGATAATATGGTACATTGAAAAAGTGTGAAATATTTAATTCATTAAATATAAAGCTGACAAAGAAGAGAGTCATATTACAGGGAAGGTAAATACAAGATTGACAAAAGAAATATCAGGGCTTTTCTTAAGTCTTCACTGCATGATATTCTTCCATTGAGGAATGTCAATGAGCTAGATACTAGTAAAATATAATGTAGAAAATAACTATGATTTAAAAATTGACCCATTTTATTAAATATAATTCTATGCTAAAAAATTTAAATTTTTATTACATTAAGCACTTACTTAAAAAAACTTAATAGGAAGTAAAGCTGTGGCTCAAATGGTAGAGCGCTCGCCTTGAGCTGAAGAGCTCCGGAACAATGCCCAAGGCCAGAGTTCAAGCCTTACAACTGACAAAAAAACAAACAAAAAAATTAAAACTTAATGTATGGACTTTTCAATATCATAGGATGGATTATGATAGGGACAATTTTTCTTTTGGGGGGGGGGGTCCAGTGGTGGTCTCTGGGCCTGGGTGCTGTCCCTCAGCTCTTCAGCTCAAGGTTAGTGCTCTACCACTTGAGCCACAGCACCACTTCCCGCTTTTTTTTCTGCTTATGTGGTGCTGAGGAATCAAACCCAGGGCCTCATGCATGCAAGGCAAGTGCTCTACCACTGAGCCACCTTGCCAGCCTGAGGGATAATTCTTCATGGTGTAAAGTGGGCTTAAATAATTTGATCCAGTATTTATGCCCTTGTTAGTGATTTTATATTCTACTTGAAGATTTTCAAATAATAACTCTATAACAAGCATAGAAGTCTCTGTGGGTTTACAAATAGTTCAGATGAAAAACCAAAACATCTTCTAAAACATACTTTCTGAATATTTTATTTCTATATGATTCTGTAGACAAAATATTTCATTAGAACAACATATTTTAAATGTTCAGGTACAACATATTAGAATTGTTGGTGTTTATTTTTAAACTTCAAGTTGTTATGACATATAATCCATGAGAACTGACACAATTCTCTAAAACATTTGCTTACATGTACCGTTTCATTAAATGCTCTCTTGAAATACATTTAACTTCTTTAGATATGAGAATTCTTTTCATATACAATACTAGAGGACTATAAAGTAGAAATAGAAGCCGGGCACTGGTGGCTCACGCCTGTAATCCTAGCTACTCAGGAGGCTGAGATCTGAGGATCACGGTTCAAAGCCAGGCCGGGCAGGAGACCGTGAGACTCCTATCTCCAATAAACCACCAGAAAACCGGAAGTGGCGCTGTAGCTCAAGTGGTAGAGCACTCGCCTTGAGCTGAAGAGCTGAGGGACAGTGCCCAGGCCTAGAGTTCAAGCCCCACGACCGACCAAAAAAAAAAAAGTAGAAATAGAGTCATTACATTTTTTAAAAAACCAGTCGCCTTTCAATAATCAGTGTATCATATTATAGCATACACACCCAATGGTGACTGAACCTTCCCTGCCCCCCGCCCCTGCCCGGGGGCCTCCCTCTGATACCTGGAATAAACTTTAAGGTATTCTCTAGATATTCATCCTCTGTGATGGACTGGCCATTTAACTTCAGCTCCAGAATGAAATCCCGAACAGCCCAGACAAAGTCTGGAAAGAAACTCACAAATTCATCACAGTCATCCATTTCATCAGATTTCTTAGTGGACTTTGCCCTGGTTATCTCTCTTAGTTCAGTTACATAGCTGAGATCTTAGCTAAGGAATGAAAAGTACAATACATCATAAACAAGTTTCAGATCTCACCTACAAATCCATTGATAATATTCCATTTTGTGTAATGTACCCTTCCTCAACCAGGAAAACCGAGTTACTTAAAGAAACAGGGTTAGCACTTTGGAAAGCAGCATGGAAGTTCCTCAAAAGACTACACATAGAGCTCCCTATGACCCAGCAATCCCACTTTTGGGCATTTACCCAAAAGATCACAATCAAGGCCATATTAAGGATACCAGCACAACTGTTTATTGCAGCATTATTTACCATAGCTAAGATATGGAACCAAACCAGATGCCCCTCAGTAGATGAATGGATCAAGAAAATGCGATATATATATATACATACATATATATATATATGAATTATGAATTTTATGCCTCCCCTCAGAAAGAATGACATTGCCCCATTTATTAGGAGATGGAAAGACTTGGTAAAAATTATATGAAGTGAAGTAAGCCAGGCCCAAAGAAACATAGGTCCCATGGTTTCCCTTATCTGCATCAAATAGCATATGTCTAGGACAAGCAGAAAACGTCAAACACTATGTACATATGACCATAAAAGATGATGGTAAGCAAAATGAACCCCAAGATAGAGATAAAAATATATTTTTTCTTTCTTGCTATTGTTTTTAACGTATTTATAATATACTATGTGATTTTTTTGGTTTCTTTATACATTTCCCCCCCACAGTATAACCCTTGTTTTCATTGTATTTGATTCCGATGCCCTGCATCTTGTATATACATTTCTCTAATTTGGGGAGGGGAAGGGAACAACCAAAATGCTTCAGTAAGGATACAGGTTGACCCATTGTAACAATGAGATGTAGAAGACACTACGTTGAAAAATGAACTTTACAATTTAGGTGGAGGGATAGGGGGAGTGTAGTTGTGAGGGAAGCAGTGGTAGGGGGAACAATGGAGGAGGCAACAATGATTAATAGGAAATGTATTCATTAACTTGCTCACCCTCTGTACAGTATCTTTACAATTAAAAACAAAGAATTAACAAAGTAATAAAAGAAGAGCTATAAAATAAAAATAAAAAAAGAAACAGGGTTATCATTTTCCTAAACTCAATACAGCATGACTATTCTTTCCCAGGAAGGATACTACACCTGCTCCAGTGCTTGCTGGTTGATGGTTTCCATACTGTTGTAGACAAAGGTGCTGCTGAGTAGAATGGACAAGGCAAAGATCCATGAATCATTCTTAGGATTACCCTAGAGAACACATGAGAGCAAGGGACAGTGAAGTTTACTTGTGTCATTCTTTCATTTATAGTTCATTTAGGACTACAGTTGAAATAGAGAATACAAAGAAGGCCAAAATTGAAAAACATATCCTAAGTTTTGGGGCTAGGAAGGTGGCTCAGTAGTAGAGTGCTTGCCTTGCATGAAAGCGTCACTGGGTTCAATTTCTCAGCACCACATCAGCAGAAAAAGCTGGAAGTGGCATTGTGGCTCAAGTGGTAGAGTGCTCGCCCTGAGCTGAAGAGCTCAGAGACAGCACCCAGGCCCAGAGTTCAAGCACCATGACAGACCAACAAAAAAAAAAACAAAAAACCTAAGTTTTTACTTCCTCTTCATCATTAACAGTGATTTTCCTCAGGTCTTGGTTTCCTTCGAGTGAAGGTATTGTCAATGTGCATAAAATAGTTTCTACAGCAACTATATACAGGAGACCACAATATTTTTTTAAAAAAACATCATATATACTGTATATAAATAAATGCAACATATGTGCATATGTATACAAGATGATCATCTCTGCCAATAATACATTAAATTTTATTATGTGAGAGAAAATTGACCATTTTAATAAGTTGGAAAAATGCTTTACACATGTGAGTGTCTCACTGGGATAATACCTGTTGTTTCAATGTGCTTCATTTATTTAAACAGCTGAAAGAAGTAGAGATTAAAAGATCATACACATGGTAAAACTAATAGTAGACACATGAGAAATATTATAAAGTATAAGCCATACATATGTATCACATAATCATATCATTTGGCCGAAGCAGTGAGCATGTGTAAAGGGCTGAAAGATAGAGCCAGAATCAAGATTCAGGATGAGATGGATCATGAAGTATAGAAAAATAGAACTATGTACTACTCAATTCCCATCAAGTTACAGAGGAAGTGAGTAATTCTAGACAAAAAGCAATTTATACTATGATATTAGATTCAAACTCCTCTTGGCTTCATAAGTGAGTCCATACCCCTAGGACCCATATACCTAAATTATATGGCCACTTTTGGACATCTATAGCACCTGTACTGGTTATACAAAATGTGTGTTGGCTCTTGAATTAGGTCTTTCCCTTTTACTGATGGATCTACAGAATATAGGATAGGGACATAGAATTGACATCTTAAGTGAATATTTACTACATTGTATCATACTTTCAGCTGCAAATAAAATTTCACCATAATAAAGACAACAAACTGAAAGAACTCTCAATATCCAAAGATGGAACAAAGCAAAAACAAGGTATAGGGACCAGAGTCCAGCTCAGTGGTAAGCCTATAACTAGTATGTATGCAAGGCTCTTCTTTGTTCAATCCCCAATACCTTGCAGAAAAGCGTAAATCAATGTATAAATAGAATTTCTTTTATACTGATATGACTGCATAAATGAGCAGCTGACAGAGTAGAGGAAAACCCTTCTTTACAGAAGATGTAAATGCTACCTGTGTCACAGGTAGAGTTTAATATCACTACCATCTCACATTAAGATATCTATAATAGGTTGAGGTTGTAGCACAATTGTAGAACACTGTCTAGGATGCACAAAACCCTGACTTTGATGCCGAAGAGTAATAAAAAAAAAAAAAAAAAAGAAAGAATGGGCTAGACCTAGTGACCCACTTCCAAAAAACAGAGTCAGAAAAAAGAAAGTTTTTTAAAGAATATTAATACAACAAAATATTAGGGTTTATCAGAGTAATGCAAAGCAACAATTTAGCCTCAATTCATAACTGGATTTGTAGTTTAGGGAACTGAAGTAAGCAGTGGATGTTTAATTAAGGTGATACATGGTAAGTTAAAAAACACAACCAAAGGAGAATCCTCTCCAATTTTGATTTACCTTCTCCACATCACCCAGACCCTCAGTGTCCAGAAGGACCAAGGTGAAATTTGGTTTCGTTGGGTGAGTCACACACGACATCCAGATGCCTTTTGTTTGAGACCACACTGTTCTGCCGACAGGGAAACCTGTAACCAAAGGGAAAAAAATATATGGGTGTGTTTTAAGTTCTGAGAATCTAATATTATGAGATATTATAAGATAATGAGCTAATAGAGATAATGTAAAATATAAAGAAGGGAGCCTTCATAAGCAGAGGAAAAATAGAACTAGGGACAGATTTTCTAGAAATCAAGGACCAAATAAAATGACCTTATTTAAGAAAATCACCCACACTGATCAAGATGCACTCCATTCATAAACTGGTATTTTTTAATGGCAATGTCTTTGTAGAATGACTTGAAGATAAGAAAAATGAAAAAAAAAATAAATTAGGGGGGCCGGGACCAGGCCTGGGGATCCGGCGCCTGAGCAACACAACCAACTCCTCCCAACTGAAGTCAGAAGCTGAACTTATGCCTCAGCAGAGGGGAGAGAAACAGGGAACAGCACCACCCTGTAAAGCATGCCTGTGACAACAAAAGACCCGGGGGCTCAGGACAAAAGAAGCCTGAACCCCACTGGAATTTGACCCATATATTCTAGGCTGGGAATTGGAGAACACAGGCCACCAGCACCTGATAGTAGGCAGGGGCTCAGGCTGGTAATGTGGCTCAGCAGTAGAGTGCTTGTCTTGGGTGCATGAGGCCCTGGATCTGATTCCTCAGCACCACATAAGCAGAAAGGGCCAGAAGTGGCGCTGTGGCTCAAATGGTAGGGTGCCAGCCTTGAGCTGAAGAGCTGAGGGACAGCGCCCAACCCAGAGTTCAAGCCCACAACCAGCCAAAAAACCCCATCAGGAGCCCATAGCAGACTCTAGCATCTGGGAGAGTGCATCCAGCACATCCGATCTTGCCAAGAGCACCTGTAGGAGCAAACAGGTGCAGTCTAGGCTGCTCAACCCTTCCAAAGTCGGTAACGGCCAGTAATCTACAGTAGAGAGCTGAGAACCCTATGTGGGTCAGACCAGCAGCTAGAGGTTGGCCCCCAACAGAAAAAGATCAGGTACAGACTCTCTCTACCAATACAGAAACAGCAACCAAACAAAGATAGACACCTATTGACCAAAACAAAATTTCAGATTAGTCTCCAATATCCCTGAATCCCCATGTGAAAATCACAGAGAAAAATTACAAGGTTTATCAACACCCAGGGTAGCAAGCTATCCACAATACCCAGCAACCACCCAGGGGAGAACCCCAGGGGGAGTAAAGCAGGAATGGAAGACAGAAGCTACATCCAAGAGATGCTGGATGCAATGACTCAAGAAATAAAGCCAGAAATAGACCAGAAATTGAAAGGACACAGGGTCGAAATATCAAAAGAGATGCAGGATATGAAACACGAGGTACATGCAAAAATAGAGGCAGCCCACAGGTCACTAAGAGGTGAGATCAGTATTTTGAGAACCAACATCGAATCCATAAATGAGTACATTTCCTCCATACAAATCACAATGGAAGCCACAGTTAACAGAGTGAATGAAATGGAATGTACAGTGTCAGATACAGAAGACAGAATACACCAACTGGACCAAAAAATGACAGATATGGGAAAATCACTTAAATTATGCTAAAGGGAAATTCAAGAGCAAGTACATGGTGTCACGAAATTTAACCTTCGTATAATTGGAGTGGATGAAGGTGAGGAATATCAAAGCAAGGGAGTGCAACACCTATTCAACAAGATAATCCGTGAAAATTTTCCCCATCTCAAAAAAGAACATCTTACCTACATAACAGAAGCATATAGAACACCTAACAAGCAAGATCCCAGGAGAAACACTTCTAGACACATTATAGTAACAATGATAGATCTGAACTATAAGGAAACAATCTTGCATGCAGCAAAAATGAAGAAGGAACTATACTACAATGGGAAAAAATTAGAATCACTGCTGATCTCTCCACACAAACACTAAATGCAAGAAAGGCCTAGGAAAGTACCATACAAGCCCTGAGAGCCAATGACTGCCAACCCAGATTGATATACCTGGCAAAGCTAGCATTTACATTCAATGGAGAACTGAAACATTTTAATAGCAAAGAAAAACTAAATGAATACATAAACATTTAGCCAGCATTACAAAGAATACTAAGAGGGGGAACACAACCTGAAGAAAGCAACCAAGAACTGGGACCTGCACCCAGACTGGAATTACTAGAAGTCTAACTGAACAAGCACAGAAGGAAAGGAAAGAAGAAAAACTGAGGAAAACAGAGAATGACAGGGACCACAATGCATCTCTCTGTACTATCTCTTAATATTAATGGGCTTAATTCGCCAATCAAAAGAAAATGAACTGCAGGTTGGATCAGAAAACATGACTCATCCATCTCTTGCATTCAGGAGACCCACTTCTCAGTCAAACACACAAACAAACTCAGAGTGAAGGGGTGGAAAAGGATCTACCAATCAAATGCCCCCAGTAAGAAAGCAGCTGTAGCTATCCTGATATCTAACAAAATAAACTTTTCATTAAAATCAATACAAATAGACAAGGACAGACACTACATATTAATAAAGGGAACAACCCAAGAGGAGGATATTACCACCATCAACTTATATGCCCCAAACATTGGTGCACCCAAATATGTTAAGCAAATACTCTCAAACTTACAGAATAAAATAGATCCCAATCCCAATATGATAATACTAGGAGATTTAACACCACACTCTCACCAAAGGACAAGTCTACTAACCAGAGGATTGGCAAAGAAGCTACCGAATTAAGTGAGGCCATACTTCAAGATTAACAAACTCACAGCTACCGAGTATTTCACCCTAAAACAACACAGTACACATTCTTCTCAGCAGCTCATGGAACTTTCTCCAAAATAGACCACATCATAGTTCATGCAAGGAATGTAAGCAAGTACAAGGGGATTGACATAATCCCCTGTATCCTATCTGACCACAGTAGAATCAAGCTAGTTCTCCATAACAAAGCATACCGCAGAAATCACTCTAATACATGGAAATAGAACAGCACCCTTCTTAGCAATACCTGGGTAATGGAAGAGATCAAAGAAGAAATAAAAAATTTCCTACAACTCAATGAAAATGAAAACACCTCACAAAGAAACTTTGGGACACAGCAAAAGCAGTCCTGAGGGGCAAATTTATTGCCCTCAGTGCCCACATCAAGAAAATAGAGAAAGACCAAGTAAATAATCTCATGTTGCAATTAAAACAGCTAGAAAATCATGAAAAAATGGAACCTAAAGTTACGAGACAGGGCCAGATAACCAAACTAAGAGCAGAGATTAATGAATTAGGGAATCGGAGAACCATAGCCAAAATTAATTAATAAAGTTATACTCTCTAAAGGAAGAAAACCTGGCAGAAATGGGTGCATTTTTAGAGAAATACAAGCAAAGAAGAAGCAAATCAATTAAATAAGTGAATATCCTACAACGAGATACAGGAAGCAATCAGAAGATTTCCAACAAAAAAAAAGTTCAGGACCAGACTGATTCACAGCATAATTCTATAACACCTTTAAAGAAGAACAATACCCATACACCTCAAGTTCTTCAGAGAAACAGAGAAGGAGGGAGCTATCCCAAACTCATTCTACAAAGCCAATATCATACTCATCCCCAAACCAAAGACCCAACCAAAAAAGAGAATTGCAGGCCAATTTCCTTGAGGAACACAGATGCAAGGATCCTTAACAAGATTCTAGCTAGCAGAATCCAGAAGCACATAAAAAAAATCATACACGATGACCAGGTAGGCTTCATCCCAGAGACACAGGGATTGTTTAACATACGTAAGTCAATAAATGTAATCCAACACATCAACAGAGCCAAGGTCAAGAATCACATGATTATCTCCACAGATGCAGAAAAGGCCTTTGATAAAATTCAACATTCGTTCATGCTAAAAGCTCTAGAGAATTAGGAATAGAAGGAACAATCTTAAAACAATGAAAGCCATTTATGAAAGACCAATAGCCAATATCATACTTAATGGGGAAAAGCTACAACCAATTCTCTTAAAATCAGGAACAAGGCAAGGATGCCCACTGTCTCCACACCTCTTCAATATAGTCCTGGAACCCTTAGCCAGGGCAATAAGGCAAGAAAAAGACATTAAAGGGATCTACATAGGGAAAAAAGAAGTTAACCTATCCCTTTTTGCAGATGACATGATACTATACATTCGTAATCCCAAAAACTCCATCCCCAAACTCTTGGAAATCATAAATCACTTCGGCAAAATAGCAGGATACAAAATAAACCCACAAAAATCAGTTGCCTTCCTGTACACTGACAATGTACAAGTAGAAAGGGAAATAAAGGGAGCAACCCCACTCACAATAACCTCTCCCAAAATAAAATATTTAGGAATTAACCTAACCAAAGGTGTAACAGAACTATTTAATGAAAACTATAAAAAGTCAAAGAAAGAAATTGCAGAAGACACTAGGAAAAGGAAAGACCTCCCATGCTCTTGGATAGGCAGTCTTCATATAGTGAAAATGGCAAAACTGCCAAAATTAATATAAAAATTCAATGCAATTCCTATTAAAATCCCAATGACGTACATCTCTGAAATGCAGAAAACAGTCCAAAAATTCATATGGAACAACAAATGACCTAGAATAGCCAAAAAAATTCTAAGGAATAAAGACAACTAAAAGACTAATAGTGTACCCCAGCCTATCACCATGCACCAACATCAACTCAAAATGGATTAAAGACCTTAACATTAAACCTGAATCTCTGAAACTACTGCAGGATAGAGTAGGAAATACACTTGAACTTATAGGCACAGGAAGGAACTTCCTGAACAGAGTCTCAGGGTCAAAACAAATTGGAGAGAGACTGTACAATAAATAAAATAAAAAGCTTAAAATAAAAAGCTTCTGCACAGCTAAAGCTATCGCAACCAAGCTAGAAAGACAACCAACTAATTAGGAATAAATATTTACCAGCAATATATCAGTATATACAGAGAAGTCAAGAAACTAATCCCTCCCAAACCTAACAAACCAATTACTAAATGGGCAAGAGAACTAAAGAGAGACTTCTCAGATGAAGAGATAAAAATGGCAAAGAAACACATGAGGCAATGTTCACCATCCCTGGTTATGAAGGAAAAGCAAATAAAGACAACCCTGAGATATCACCTTACCCCAGTCAGAATTTTCCACATCCACAAGTCAGCCAACCACAAATGCTGGAGGGGATGCAGAGAAAGAGGAACCCTATTACACTGCTGGTGGGAATGTACACTTACACAACCACTTTGGAAAGCAATCTAGAGGGTCCTCAGAAAACTGAAGAATGACCTCCCTTATGACCCAGTCATACCACTTCTAGGCTTCTACCCTGAAAAACAGGAACCAGTATACAAGGACACATGCACCTCCATGTTTATTGCAGCATTGTTCACAATAATGGCATTTGCAGGGAAATGCATGGAGCTAGCAGAAATCATGTTGAACGAGGTAAGCCAAGAGCAAAGAGACAAATGGAACATGGTCTCCCGATAAGTGGATGCTAAATCCAAAATGTTAGGTGATAGAACAAAATTAACAGGACTTAAGAAACAAAGAACTTCCACTAATCTGGTGGAACCACTACTAAATAACTCCATGCTGTTGATCACAGGTATGGTGTATATGTGTACGCCATTATATGTTATAGAGTATGATAGACAATTTGCTCCAGGAAAGGTAGAATGAATTTGTGACTTTAAATAAGCATCACTATCCCACAATACTGTGAAATTTGGGAAATTATGTAATCACTTAATCACAATAATAATTTTAAAAATCCACCAGAAAACTAGAAGGGGCGCTATGGCTCAAGTGGTAGAGCATGAGCCTTGAGCTGAATTGCTCAGGGACAGCTCCCAGGCCTAGAGCTCAAGCCCCACGACTGACAAAAAAAAAAAAAGCAGGGGGAGAGATCTTTCCATGCGATTGTTACTAACATATTTATAAGATTATGTCTTTGTTGCTTTGTATGTCCCTCCCTCAAGGTATAACCCCTGCTTTCATTATATGTGATGTTGGTGCATGTGGAGGGGAAGGGAAAAAAACAAATTGTTAAAACAGGGATACAAGAGGACTCATTGCAACAATGAGAAGTACAATTCGTTATGTGGAAAATGAACTTTACAACTTTCGTGGGGGGTATGGGGGGGAGGATGCAAAGGGATGGCAAGGGGAAACAAAGGAAGAGGTTACGATGCTTGATAAGAAATGTACTCATTATCTTGCCCATGTAATTGTATTTCACAATGAAAAAATACGTTTATAAAAAAACTATACATATTAGTATAGTATAATACTATATAGTATATATCTAATACAGTATATATAATTATTGCATATAAAATATATACTATATAAAATAGTATTTATAGCACATATACTATATAGTATATATACTATATATTATTTATACTACTATAATATTCATTATACATACTAATACTACACCATAAGTTCTATGACAATTACAATAATAAAACCAGTATTATTAGTAAAAAAAAAAGAATAAATTAAAATGAAATGAAAATCACCTGCATTTAACAAAATAAGGAATACAAATGACAGTATGGGAAACAATTTTTGTACCTTATTTATAAGGCCTTTAGTTTGTAATTATAGACTCACAATATTAGTAAAAATTATAAAGCATCCTTTTTTCTAGAAAATGAAATTTTTACAGCTTTCTTTATATCTCACAATCTTCCTTCATTTCACTTTTATAAACAAAGCATACAGTGTGACATTTGCATTGATTCTACAGCCTTAATAAAATTATGTCAGTGGGAGGAAGGAAATAATCACAGGAACTGAGTACGTAAGATTGTAAGGTTAGATTGCATCAGAATACTATTCTTTAAGGTCACTAAACACAATAAGGAAAATTCCTGTTTTTTACAGGAGTAGGGTGAGATCTTATGAGTGTGGATTTAAAATAATAAGCTTTCATGTCAATCTTAATAAAGATTGCAAGTTTTTCCCTTAGCAGGAGTCAGATTCTTCTTGATAGTACAACAAGCATGATTACCTTGCATTATCAATGATCCCAGCAAATGGCTCCTGTCCTAGAAAACACTCACCTTGTTTGTGTCCTGCCAGGCGGTTCATCACGTAGGATTTTCCTATACGATACATTCCTACAATGGCCACCACCACCACAGGTTGTGTAATTGCTTCAAGAGCTTTGACTGCTTCGGGGTTCACCATCAGCTGCTCTTTCTCATTTTTCCACTAGACAAATGGGGGCCATCACAGTGGATTTTGATACCAAGTTAACCTGCACCCCCCAAAAAAAAAGAAGTAGAAGAAAGAATAAAAGATTAATAGAATACAGATCTAGTGGCAACCCCAGGAGTAAGTACAATCTCACTTATAGAATGTGTGTTAAGCTCTTTTTACAAAATTAATTTATTTTTAATACATTTTTATCTTTTAGTTACAATACAAAGGGGTTTCAATTCAACATGTCAGTTGTGAGGACAATGCATCTTGAGAAATATCACCCCTCCTTCATTGTTCTCCATGTCTCCCAACCCCACTCATCCCTTCAATTTTAAACATAACAACTCCTGGCCAAAATATATCACTGTCATAGGTACCATCCTATCAGTAAGGGGAAAGCTAGTCTAACTCTTTTTCAAGGTCATCTCTTAGATGATTCATCATTACATAATAACTCTGCTCACAATCTGTTTGATAAAAACTAAATCTCCAATCACAAAGAAGGCTAAAAACATTTTGCCTTTCTAGTCGTCTGTTAATTATCTAGATTAATGCAAATGTTTTATTACAGTGGAAAAAAAGAAGAACATAAATTGGAAGATGAAAGGTGTTCCAGAGTAACCCTGAGGATCTCAAAAATCTTATAATATGCTGGTATAAATAGAGAGCATACCACTATGGCAGCATAAGAATGGAAATACCATGATGGTTACATGAACAAGATATTAGTAGAGTAAAATAAGGATGAACTAAAATAGAGTATAACATGACCAATGGAATAGAATTGAAAACCCAGAAATGAACCCACAGACCTACAGCCATCTATCTTCGAAAAGGAAGATAAAAATTTAGAATGGAAGAACAACATCCTCTTCAGTAAATGGTGCTGGCAAACTTGGTTAATCATTTGTAGAAAACTAAAGTTAGATCCTTATATATCACCCTGTACCAGAATCAACTCCAAATGGATCAAAAACCTCAGAGTCAAAACTGACACTCTGAAAACATTATAAGACAGAATAGGAGAAACACTAGGTCTCCTTGGTGCAGGCTGAAATTTTCTTAAAAGAGACCCAGAAACACAACAAATCAAAGAAAGGTTGAAGAAATGGCATTACATGAAATTTCAGAGCTTCTGCTTGGCAGAGGACATGGCTAGCAATATCAATAGAAAGCCCACGGATTGGGAGAAGATCTTCACTAGCCATACACAGACAAGGGTCTCATATCTAAAATATACCTGGAACTCAAAAACTTAAGTCCCCCAACAACAAATCATCAAAGAAGCAACTGCCCTATAAATAAATGGGCTAAGGAATCAAGAAGAAACTTCTCTGAAGAGGAAAGAAGGATGGCCAATAGAGACATGAAGAAATGCTCAACCTCCCTAGCCATAAAAGAAATGCAAATCAAAACTATATTGAGATAACACCTCACCCAGTTAGAATGGCTAGAATCAAGAACTCTAATAACAACAGATGCTGGAGGGGATGTGGACAGAAGGAAACCTTACTATTTTGTTGGAGGGAGTGTAAACTTGTTCAACCACTTTGGAAAGCAGTATGGAGGTTCCTCAAAAGACACCACATAGAGCTCCCCTATGAACCAGCAATCCCACTTTTGGGCATTTACCCAAATGATCATAAAGAAGACCATACTAAATCTTCCAGCACAACTATCTTCATTGCAGCATTATTTACCATAGCTAAGATATGGAACCAACCCAAATGCCCCTCAGTAGATGGATGGATCAAGAAAATGTGATATATATACACAATGAAATTCTACGCCTCCATCAGAAAGAATGACATTGCCCCATGTGTTAGGAAATGGAAAGACTTGGAAAAAATTATATTAAGTGAAGTAAGCCAGACCCAAAGAAACATAGGTCCCATGGTTTCCCTTATTTGCAATATCTAATATATGGCTGAGTCAAGCAGAAAAGGTCAGATAAGGTGATGTTAGGGAAATGAACTCTAAGATATGTATTCAAATGTTCTTTTTTCTTTCATGCGATTGTTTCTAACACATTTATAAGAATATTTCTTTGTTGCTTTGTATGTCCCTCCCCCACAGTATAACCCCTGCTTTCACTGTATTTGGTATCGGTATAATTTGTGGAGGGGAAGGGGAAAAACAAATCATTTAAATAAGGATACAGGTGGACCCATTGCAACAATGAGATGTACAAGTCGTTATGTAGAAAATGAATTTTACAACTTTGGTGCGGAGTGGTGGGGGGAGCGGGGAGGATTGGGTGGGAGTAGAAGCGGATGGGAAGGGATGAGAAGGGTAAACAAAGGAGGGGGCTACAATGCTTGATAAGAAATGTACTCATTATCTTGCCCATGTAATTAAAACATCTCTGTACAGTATTTTCACAATAAAAAATAAAATAAAAAGTAAAAAAAGAAATAAACAGAAAAAAGAAAGAAAAAAAAGAAAATGTGGTATATATGCACAATGAAATTCTATGCCTCCATCAGAAAGAATGATATGTCCCCATTAGTTAATAGATGGAAAGACTTGGACAAAATTATATGAAGTGAAGTAAGCTAGGTCCAAAGAATCATAAATCCCATGGTTTCCATTATTTGCAATTACTAGTATATGTCTGATTCAAGCAGAAAAGGTCAGATAAGTTGATGTTAGGGGAATGAACCCCAAGATAAGTATTCAAATGTTTTTTGTTTTTTTCTTTTCATGCAATTGTTTCTTACATATTTATAAGATGATTTCTTTGTTGCTTTGTATGTCCCTTCTCCGCAGTATAACCCCTATTTTCACTGTATTTGATGTAGGTATAATTTGTGGTGGGAAAGGGAAAAAACAAATTGTTTAAAAAGGGAAACTGTGAAATCATTGCAACAATGAGATGTACCAGTTGTTATGTTGAAAAATGAACTTTACAACTTTGGTGGGGGGGATGGGGATAGGGTAAGGAGGGGTCTGAGAAGGGGTGGAAAGAAGAAACAAAGGAGGAAGCAACAATGCTTGATAAGAAATGTACTCATTATCTTGCCCATGTAATTGTAACCCCTCTGTACAGTACTTCCACAACAACCAAAAAAGAATATAACATGAGTCAAAATAATTCTAATAAAATTATGCAAATTAGAGTACCAGAATTTCAGAGCCATATTTTCAGTAACGGATTTTATGCAGTGTATCACAAACATTACTACCTCTTGTCATTAGAAATTCTACAATTGGTTTTGAAGTATTTAAATACTACATAGTATTGTGGGATATGTCAAATCATAACTATTATATAAACTTCAGTATGTACCAGGGTGAGAAGAGTGAAATTCTAAATGAGTAAGGTACTGGCTTTTGGGTAGATTCAGTTCCATGGCTCCCAGCCAAGAGTCAGTTTGAATATGAAGGAGACAAGGATCCATGGGAATAAAGAAAGGGGCTTCCTGTGAGGAGCAAGAGTAGGCAGGAGAGAAGCAGTGGAAAGATGCTGCAAGCAGGACCCATGGAGGATGAATGGGGAAACAGGAATCCAGAGCCAACGGAGATGCCACAGCAAAGATTCAGAAGACAGTCTTCCAGGGGTCAAACCCCAGGGTTCCCATCATTTACTCACTATCAGACCTGGAAGGAGAACCTGCCTCTGTACACCTTCATTATCTTGTCAACAGTATAAATAAAACTAGTCCTGCCTGATTCACTACGGTACAGGTTAAGGAAATCAATATTTTAAAAAAAAAGTAGTCCAATTGACTCAGCAGCAGGTACACCATGAACTAGTGCACATGGACAGCATGAAGATGGGCAAGCCAGGCACTGAGGTTGCAAATGGACTAGTGAAGACTACTTTTGCTCTCAGCTTTTCCAATTCCAGGCAGCTACCCTCTGGGAAACATCTGAGAACTGAGAGTAATGGTGAAGTTGGGGCAAGAGAGAGCTGGAAGGAGCGACCCTCCAGCAGTGACTCTGCTGGGGTTTGGGGCTAGGGTTTGGTCCCTCAGTGCCAGGAGGGAATTAAGGTCCCCTGAGGCAGAGGAGGGTAGGTGTCCCATGCAGTGCTCTCTGATGCAGTCCATGCTGGACGCCTGAGGAAGAGCAGCTTTTCCTGTGTATGCTTTGGTAAGGTTCACCACCCCATGGCTGCCTGGGGACTGAAGGAGCCCTAGGAGCTGAACTACCAGAAGCAGTCTGGAGGGTCACACACCATGGAGCTTCCCATGTCCTCCCATTCCACTGCTGCCTTAACCTCTGTCCCCTCCCCGACATCCTACCCAGCCCACTCCCAGCTAGTAAAATAGCTATGGACCTAGCTCCCTGTTTGCTGATCCTCAAGGAAATAGCACACCAAAGACCATGTTTCTCCACAGAACTCACGTCTTTGTGGGCTCTGTAGTCAGGAGACAAATTCTCAGCTGCCTTAGCTCTGAGTTCTTCTGTCTGGCTAGTGAGGAAAGCACTGCTCTTAGAAGCTGAGCATCAAATCGTATAAGGCAGCCTGCCAAGTAAGTGTTGGGCAAGAGGAACAGTGAAATGAAACTGTATTTATGTGTTTCTGAGGTAATCAGAGAGCTTTAGCACAGTTCCTAGTTAGTCAGAGGATCAACTTTATGAGCAAAGGGAGGAAAAGTCCAATGTTCTGCATCAGCTTCTCAAACCGAAAACCAAGCAAATAATAAAAACCAAGCAGACAGTCAAAGATCACTGGTATTTATTCAGGAAGAACAGGGCACCATAATGGAAATATGCTGCTATGTGAAGCACAGGAGTAGTAAAAGAACTTGAGATATGATGAGGTTTGGTTTTAAAACAACAAACAAAAACGTTTTCTTTCACCCACATAAAATGGCATAAAATATGCCATATATTGGGATAACATGTAATGTTTGTTTCGGTTTTAGACTCTATTTGAAATTGAAAGGCTATTATGGTATACACTACAAAGTAGCATTCATTACTAAGATCATCTACCAAGCTGAATAATACTCTTTGAGGGGTCCACTAATTCCTACCAGATGGGAATATGGTCATGTGTGTAAAAACATGTAGAGAATA